TGGATATTTAATATCGCAAACACAAATTTTTAATTTGAGTACAATTCAGTTTCTTACGTAAATTTCCACTCCATTTCTAAATAATATGGGCAAATAAAATATTTTGAGAATTCTATTACCTTAAATAATAAATAATGAAAAAAAAAAAAACAAGACATGAGACCTTCTGAAGATGGGTTAGTAATAAAATATAAATTATTAAATTTAAAAATATCAATTATTGAACCAAATAAATAATATTTATTGGTATTTACGTATTAACGCAACTACTTTAGTAGAAGTCGCCAAATTTTCAGATTCTACCAAATTCTGGCAACCATGCGCATAACCGTTTTTCCGGCGACCATGTTCACAACAATCCCTCAGTCAAGCAACTGCGCCATTTTCATTTTTGTTTTATTCCAAGTTCCAACAGTTCTTATAAACAAATCGTGATTAAAAAAAAAAAAAAGTTTCAAAATACGTGCTTCTGGAACTTCACAGCAATGAAAGAAACCGTGGTAAAATTTCTGCAGGAATACAGAATTACGCTGAAATTTTTCTAAAGGGAACAAACAATGAGAAAATGCGTTCCCATTATTGCCAAGTTTTGCAAGAAGCCAGTCTCCGCAATTCCGATTTTTTTTCAGCGAAAACAGATCGCTGTGTACTTCGGGAGAACAGTGTAAAAAAATTACAGAAAGATTTAAAGAAGAATGTGTTTTATTTTTTAATGTATCACGTAATTCTTATTTAATAAGCAAAAACACTATCTTAAATTGCTACATTCTTTTCATATGTTGATAATGTTTACCGCCTTACGATAAACTTCGATAGTTTAGGAACCTTTCTTAAAAAAAAAAAAAAAGGCGCGACAACCACTAACTTGCACCGGATAAGAAACTTCTACCTTTTCATCTGTAAAAAATAAGAAAAAGCACAAAATTCTAGGCGATACTGCGCCAGCTTCCCATAAATGCCGCGATTATCGAGTACTTTACCCAATATATTTTGGATCTTGCAAGTAACTGCCTCAATGGGTGTATTTTTAATGTAAGTGATTCTCAACGATTATCTCGTGAAGAGTCGACTGTAACAGTAGTTCTGAATATGCACCCCTTTATTAAAAGATCATTCCTCCTCTCTTTTCAACAAATTAAAAAAATTCATACGTACAGTCATATTATTTTTTAACTTGTTTTATAAATGAAACAACAAAAAAGCAGAGAAAATGTTGATAAACACCAAAACTTGAGTAAAAGTTGTATTTTATATTTATAAACTAAAAGGCTGACCACATCCCCCCCAAGCTATGACATTTCCGGCTGGCACTTTTATACTCGGTCGGTATACTGACCCGCTGCAGGTGGATATTGCTCCTACTCTTGCCAGTTATTGAGAGAGTCCCATTAGAGCCTGACCTGTGATGCAACCTGCAAGAATATTCTCCATAAGAGATAAGTACCTGACGGGAATCTCGACTGGTTGAGAACCGCTGTTCTATATTTTTTACCCCCCCCCCCCCAAATTAGTGGTGGCTAGCTTTGCCTTTTCTGTATGAATAATACATATTCGAACGTTCATTTATAAAAGGTATTTTACGCAAATTTTTTCTTTGTAAAATGTTCAAAATAAAAATGTCCGAATTTTACTTTGGGCCACTGTATGTAATTAATTACTGTGAATATTGACAGTGTCCGCGTGATAAGGAAATGGAGCCGGCAGAATTTCCGAAATAGTCTGGGCGAAGTGCCAACCACGTGCTCGTCACTGTCACCGACTCTGCGTCGTTGGAACAGACAGTATAGGGACTAATGTAACACAAATGTGCCCAATAAAACGTTAAAAGTTCGCGCAATGCAGATGTTTCTCCTTTATCTCCTACAATTAAAAAGCTCGAGAATGCCCACAAATAAATGATAAGAAGAAATTCATATTTGCACATTTAAATGCTGTACTCGCCTCAATAAGGCCGTCATTAACGCATGGGCCCGCTAGGCACTTCCCCGGAGGGCCTACAAGCATAGGAGCCCCTGAATTTGAGTTCTGCGAGATACATACGTACGTATGAGACATCGCGAAAAAAATCCCTTTTAAATCCACTTTGGAAAAAATAGTTCTTATTCTTTCCGCACGTGCAGACGTCAAGCAAAAAAATCGTCCAAATGGGTTTGCGAATGGTCAGAATGTATATTTCCGTTGAAACAGGTTACCCAGATTTTTTTTTTTTTTTTTTTTTTTTTTTTTTTTTTGCGAATACAGTAATTGTAAAAATGTCAATTGAAATTTTTTTAATACAAGTACAATAATTATTTTGGGTATAATTGTTTGCGTGTAAAGATGGCAATGATGCGCTTGTTATATTTTCTTCTGTGTTGTATAATTTTACATAGTTATAAAGAAATTAGCTTGCAATTATTATTACATCTTTGATAATTATGTATATTTATTATAAAATTCATTACTTTCTTCCAAGTTTCGTTTTTTCTTTTTCTTTTTTTTTTTTTTTTTTTTTTTTCAAATCAACCATACACATGTGAATCGTAAACGATAAATACATTTAGAAAACTATGCTTTAATGGTGTAATAAAGTTGTTACTTTAATCTAAACGCCAATTTCGTACATTCATCGCTAATACTTGAACAGAAGGGAATTTTTCTAGCTGAGAAAAAATACATTAAAAAAATTTCATTAAAATATCTTTTGTTGAAATGTTGCTATAAAATATTTAAATATATATATATATTTAGTATGTGCATTGTATTAATAAAATAATGTTGCCACGTAATGTATGAAATTTTTAAACTGAAAAATAAATAAAAATCCCTTTATTTTATTCACTGCGTCCAAATAATAATTAACAATAAGATTAGAATTACGTTTACTGCTTTTTAAAACGTTAATTCTGTTAAGCAATAATATGCTGTTTAAATTTGACAGAAAATTACACAGCTTACGTTTTGCCGAATCGCAATACACTAGCACTTCGATGACTTAAAAAAAAAAACTGAAATGTTTCAGATTTTAAATTACGTCCAAAGGGGCGTTTTTTTAACATTTTGTGTGTTACCTTTCTTATTAAATATCATGTTCCTCGCACTTAAACCATAAGATCCAGTGCAACAGCAATATCGCAAAATAGTTTTAAAACGAGCATATCTTTAGAATTTCCGATACAGAGACTCACGCGCTGGAGATAAAAATGTTTTTTCTGCACAACGTTGCCATTGCTCGCTTTGAAATCCTTGAGTTTGTTAATCAAAAATTCGTCAAAGTTTTAAAAAATAGGAAATCGATCATAAAACAAATTTCAAATTTGGTCTTCCACATGCTCATATTCGTTGGAGGATTACGTTATTCAAAATTCGATGACTCTATGTACCGTTGTTTTATCACAATACGAGAAATATACATACATTTATGCAGATTTTTCATTATTTAATTTCTTCAAATATAATGCAGGACTCTAACATTTTGTGGCAACAGTTTGAAAAGTGAACCGACATTTATGAGTCCGACGCATACAACACATTGTTTTTGTTAAAATCGGCACTCAAAATTTATTAAATTTCCAAACAATTCAAATAAATAAATTAAAAAAAAATTAAAAATGCGGGCTTTGAGGGTCGCACATTCAGGCGGATACAGATACAGCCATTTTTCCACGATGCGAGGCACAATACATACATGCAGATTCTTCATTCGTTTAGAGATTATACATGATGTATATTGACAACGCGAAGCTCGTATGATCAGCCATGCGCGCCCCACAAGCGCGGTCTTAAGCATATGCAAAAATACTGCTGAATAAAATACGTCTTCCGACCTTGAAAACCATTGGCCTAGAAGACAGAAGGGATGAAAGCCCAATTTTAACAAAGAAATACGCATTGAAAGACGTAGTTCATTCACACGACAGAAAGCGCGCATGCGCATTTGAAAACATTTAGCCGCGAAATTCGTTTGCATGAAAATAATTTCACGGTTAATTACTATAAAGTTGCATTTTGCTGCTTCCAAAATATTAACTAAAAATTTTGCAAGTATCCTTTAAAATCATTTCTGATTGCACACAAGCATATTTTAGTGAATAACCATGCTAAAAAATATAACTTGCATATTTAATAGACTTATTAATAGAATATAATCTACATATGTAATAGATTAATATAAATTGCATTTTACTTAATTAGGTTAGGCTGAATATTCATACATTCACAAAGCCATATTTTAGGAAAACAGGTCACAAGTTCTGTATTTTAAGCACAGATTAATTAACATTAAATAGATCTTAATGGAAATAACGCTTATAGCTTGACTATAAACATAAAATTTTTAGGCTGAAAAAATGCACTTAAGAACATCTGATATTTTTAAATTAAGTCCCAAATTAAAACAAAAATTTAAAATACTTAAGAAAACTTAATATATTTTATTTATCAATTACTTATACAAAATACTTATTGATTTAATATCAATAAATTAAGTCAAAATGCCATGCTTTAAACTGAATTCACCTTCCCCAGAACATGAATCCCGTGAAAGTATTTAAAAATCCTTTCTGATTTCATATGTAACTTGATAGAATATATCAAGGTACTTCAAGTTTTAAAACTACAGAAACGATTTGTTAAAATTGACACATTTTTTTTAAATGGAAAATAAACAAGACTTTTAAAAGAATTGATTATATATAAGCAATTTTTAGCGATACATAGATAAAATAAAAAGAGAATGCTTTCATTTCTCGACAGAAAGCTCCTGAAATTAAAAATCTATATACATATTAAGTTCTTAAAAATTGTTTATGAAAGATAAATTCAGCTAATTATGCTTATTACTTTATGTCAGAAATTTACTTATGTTTATCATGTATATTTTTTTCCAGAATCACTCACTTATTAGAAATAATTGAATCTTACATTACTTATGTTATATGTAGATTAAAAAGAAATTACTATTAATAAAATTAAATTCATTAGAAAATATGTGATGATATTCATACAAGACTTACATCATTATTAAAACAATGAAAAAGTATTTATTCCTTAAGGCTTGAATGCTAGTCAAAATTCAATATGATGTTCAAAAGTAATGAATTCTGAAACACCATGTGAAATTTTCATATGCACATTTATGCTTTTAACTTGTGAGACATCCAGCAAATGGCTTAGATAGAGATCTCTGATCTCTATTCATTCCTATTGAATATTTTCATAATTATTGAATTATCAGACAAAATGTAAAAAAATTAGTAATTTTCATGATTTATTTAAGGTTCAACTTTTATGGATAAACAATAAAACGTTAATATAAGAATTATATTGCTTTTTATAGACAAGACAATAATAAACAAAGAATTTCTGATAATACATATGATGCACTTATCAGAAACCAACATAAATTCAAGACATACATGAAAATCGAATTTTTCTCCCCTAATCATACTCAGAAATCCCATGAAGGTATTAAAAAAAGCTTTTTGATTTCTTATAATTTAATAGAACATTAAAATACTTCGAATTTCAACAATAAACAAATAATTTTGTAAAACTGAGATGATGTTTTTAAAGAAATGGAAAATAAGAAAGACTTCTTACAAGAAATAAGAATTAAAACTGTTACATAAATATAAGCGATTTTTTAATGATACAGCGATTTCTAATCACTATTTTCGGTAAACATTGCAAATAATACTAATATTTAAAAATATCACTTAAAGAATTTGTTTGTATATTTTCATTACTTAGCAAAACAAGTTTCAGATTTTATAAAAATTAATTTGCCTGAACAACGTTTCTATTTTCAAATAATTTCAATGTTTTAAACGCCATCATATACGTAATTATTTCATAAACAAATCATAGAATTATTCACATATATTTAAAAATTAATCAAGGCGCTATTAATCACTCATTTCAATCAGCAAATCTTTAAATCATTATAATGGATTTTAATCGCACAACACCAGTTAATGCGTAAAGTACAATTTATAATAAAGAACCAATAACATACTAAAACGTTTACAGATTAGTTTATACACGTGGCTAGAGTACCGATATCGAAAACTTGACACACAAACCTAAGTTAAGCCTACTTTTCATCCAAAATTACGTACCGGCAAGTAAAGCCGGCAAAATAAAATAATACGAAAATGTAACTTACATTGCCGTTTCTGCAATTTAGTAGCAGCTGCTCTTGTCTTGATGTTGTCAGCTGAGGTTTTTAGGACGGAACGAGAAATTTTAGCTACAGTACTTGCCATCGCAATTATTTTACGTTCTACTCTTTCCCACGTTGTGGATGAAAAGACAGTTCGTAGCTATGCGTACAACGCCAATGCTTGAGATTTTTAATCTAGAGCTTCGTGCTCCAACCAACATTGCCGTTACTCCACTATCCAAAAGAGGAGCGTTTGTTTTGCTCAATCCTATTGGTTGATGCATCCCACTATTCAGTAGCGGAAGGGTTGGCTCCGTTGAAAGATTATCGCTTTCGCTTTTTTCTTTCTGAGTGTATAGGAAATGAAATCTTGCCATTCATGAAAAAAACAAGTTAGAAAATTAGTTCTTCCATAATTTCGCCTTTTAGCGAGTGAAAAAGGAAAGATAAGACTTAAATCATTTCATTACATAACCTTACTTATATATTTTTTTAATTTTAACAGTATATACAGCAATTTTATTAGAATTTAATTGCTTGGTAATTTTTTATTGATTTCAAGCAAATAATATGGTTTGAATTTTTTGCGAAGGGTAAAATATAGTTTTTTGGGGACGATAAGACATAATATAAGGCACATGAAAACATTGCTCTAAATTATACGAAGGAAAATGAAAGCCATGAAGGTCCATAAACAGTCAAGCAATAGCAATTATTTATACTATACAAACTTACGCACTTTTATTTATGCGTCGAAGAAATATTTTAAGAGAAAGAAAATAAATGTGAATAAATAAATAAATAAAATGTAATAAACATGAATAAAATATAAATAATAGGAATAAATAGATATGAATGTGATGTTTTTGCCTTTGCATTATTTTTTTTCCAGTGATTGTGAGCAGTTACAGTGCAACCCAGTCCAGTCCAACACAATGCCAGATCTGATGGTCTCTTTATCATGGAGGCGCCTAATAGGTGGGCCATCATCGCCTCATTACAAAGCCATGCCTTCTCCGGGATTGGAACCCAGGCCCTTCGATAGCGCAGTCAGCTTCCCTAACCACTATACCGCCTGGGCGGCGCCTTCGTGCTGTTGTTATTGATATTTTTATGGTACTTATGTATTATCGCAACCAGGTTGGCGCGATTTGTAAGTTTGAGTAAAAAAGTACGAATAGAAAGAAAATGTACATTTATTAATTACAGATAATTTTTAATACAGTTTTTTATATTATTTTGTTTTAAAATATAAAATAGCAATTAAACCTTTCCGGTTTCGAATTTGAATAAGTTGCAGAATTATTTTTTTGGCGGAAATCTTTTGGCTATTGCTTTTAGCACTGATTGAAAACCGTATTCGCCATAACCATGTACACGTCGACTTATTTTTACTTAAAAAAACATCCCAGAATTGCACAAAAATGGCATTGCGCACACTCTTGACTTTATCCATCTACTCTGCTATTTTCTCATAAATTACAAAAATTTGCACGGAAATGCAGGAAAATTTTGTGAATCTCCACCTGCTCTTTTTACAAAACTAAGTATAACACGTAGGGTTGCCGTAAGTAGGGTCGCCAAATTTGGCAATTTATGCGAATCTTGGCCTGGTTGCGTTAATACGTAAGTACCATTTTTATAAATATTTAGTAAGCCAAATTTAAAATTTAGTTAAAAGAGCTTTTATTTTGTCGCTAAAAAATTTCATTTTGTATGAATTCAGGACCACCGGTCTGTAATATTTCATCTGTAAAATAAATGCCAACTAGTTTCACTCAGAAAAGTCCTACCATTAAGGTCTCTCTGCATTTTGGTAGCTTGCCCTTGTGTGTTTTGCCACGTTTAAATAACCTAACTGAACCTAATGATTTGAGGCCTAAGGAGTAGCAGAGAGAACAAAAAGAACTAGCGAAATTCAAGTTATAGGGAAGAAGAAATGAAGATATCTTATTAGATATTGTAATATTAATATTACTATATTTTCTTATTGGAATGTAGGTTTCTTTTAGCGAAATAATATTATGATAGTTACCTGTAGTTTATCCACGGCTAGTTTTCATTTGTTATGTTCTTAGTATGTAACCACATCCTTCGGAAATTAAATCATTGGTATAATGTTCCCCCTCTTGATTTTTTGGAGATAAAATTAGCCAAAAAAAAAAAAAAAAAAAAAAAGGTATATGCAAGGAAATATGTTATTAAAAATATTCAAATTCTTAAAGAATGACTGTTTAACATTACCCAAAAACTTATGAATAAAAATAATTATTTGGAAAACTTTAAATTCGGATCATTATTACTGCAACACATTTTTTTTTAATATCCCGTAGAGCACGAAAATAATCTTTCAAATAATATGTTATGATGGTCTTCCTAATATGCTGAAACATGTTCTAATTCATGTGAACTCTGCTTATTCGTAGTTTAATTTATCAAGTAGTACAGAATTGGTGTTATCCGGCCTCCAGACATCAGAGAGCTCCAGTCAACCCAATTCCTGCTCTTCTTTCTAAGCCTAGTTTAATAAACGTATCGCTGAATTATATGAGCGGTTTCATTTATAAGTTTGGCTTCAATTTTTTGAATATGAAAGTCATACAGTTCTGCTTCGAGACTATTAATGTGTGCAATAGAAGCGTCTTTAATTTATTAAAAGAATATTGTAGATGTCCATAAAAATTCTCGGTTTGATATGTTATTTAAAAAGTATTTAAAATTACAGCAATTAGATTCATAATTAGGAAAAAAATCGGTTACAGATACGTAATATATTGCGTTAGAAACATTTTTCGATTAATTACAATTACTTGGCAAACGTTCATAAAAATTATCAGTTGGATATATCATAAATTAGATATGTTTTAAATAGTACATTTTTAAGTTATTAGTTTAATTTATAGGAATGTGAGGGACACTTAAATTTTCCTACGGCGTTCGACTAAATGCGGTATTTATTTCGCATATTCCACTTTTTTTTTTTTTTTTTTTTTTTTTTTTTTAAGCCCAAAAGAGCTATAGTCTCATTGCGTTGTTCCATTCCTCATTCAAGCGCGTTGCCATTCCGGAAAATGAAATGAAACATATTTATTTTTCAAATTATTCACGAGTAAACTAAGCTTTTTAAAAACAATAGTTGCGGTTCATAAAAATATTATTTTTTTTACTTTTGAATTTTATTTAATTAAATAAAAATGCGTTTAATTCATGAATATCATTAAAATATTTTTATAGGATTATGTTATATATTTTTCACTTATGATTTATTATACATTTCATTTCATTATTATTATGTTATACACTTCATTTCAAATATACACAAAATACGTAACTTTCCTATGTTATTCTAAATGTATATTCAACTACTATCTTATACAATGTTCGCCATTCAACCTGGGCCATTTCTAGTAATAATCTACCCTTATAAACTACGTTAAGTTTTAAATAAGTCCTTCTGAGCAAACGTAAAAATATAAGTCCTTTCAGATTTTTTAATACCCCCCCCCTCATTTCTCAGCCTGAAAACAGCCAGGAAAATTACGCGATATGTATAGTTTTTGAAGAATGAGATACGCGATTAAAATGAGTATACAGATTAGATGGGTTAACTGTGCGTTATTATTAATTGTCTTCAATATTATATTTATATTATTTTCTCGATTTCACTATGTTACGAAACTGAAAATGAAAAAGCTATCTTTACGTCATGTAGGCTGTCATGTTTAGGTAGGCTGACGTATGGAAGGGTCCTGGTTCGAATCCAGTGAAGACTTGGATGTTTGTAAATGTATAATGTCTGAGCGGCATGACGACACTCAAAATAGAAAAAAGGAAAGGAAGAAAGAGAAGAAAATCCTCTCGAGTGGCTGGTGGTAGGAGAAGAATGGGAGACTATCGGACAAACCTACCGGTATGCTTTCGTTCAAAATTGGGAGCTGAGCAAAGTCAGATTGTCGTCTGCACAGTGCTCAAGGCTTTTGCAAACATAATCTTGTACGCTTGTAGGTTTCCCTTATTTTACATAACAAATTATTTTAAGTTTGTTACCTTTTCTAAACCTCTCATTTTTCTCTCTCATTTACTTGCCAGGATGCAAATTTAAAGTCAGGTCAGATGAATATTTAAACGGAAGAATCTTGTAGTTTATTCAGACTTAATTGCTCGAAACAGTATATTATCTATTGACAACAAGTTACTCATTTACAAGGCCATTCTATGTCCACTTTTGTGTTATGCAAGTCCAGTTTGGGCATATACCAAGAAAACTCATAGGAAAACATTGCAAGTCTGCCAGAATACTGTTCTACGACAAATTTCAAATTCTGAATGGTATGTAAGGAATAATAAAATATATGAAGAGTTAGGCATTGATTTACTGCGCACTCATTATTATAACTTAGCCAAAAAATTTCATGAAAGGTAGCAAAATATTGATAATCCCAGTATTAAAATCTGTGATTAGGACTATAACAGGTTGGAAAATATGGATAGGCCTATGGCCCAACTAAATGTATGGATCATGTAATATGCAACTCTAATAATTTGACATATGTGTTTATTTATGTATTTATTTTCATTCCTCTTATCTGCTACACCTTGAATTTTCTGTCTGCTTTTGTGTATGTTATAGTTATATGAATATAATTATTTCAGATTTATGTCTTAAAATTTGCTGTTGTGTACTTGATACTTCTGAATGGATTCGATTTGACTGTGTTTGCACTACGGTCACAGTCACCAGTTTCTCGACTTTTCTGCTCTCACTAATTTAGACAACAACTCCATTGATATTAATACGTTAACAATATTCTTATCTGACCTTAACAAAATTATTAAAAAAAACTATTCGATTTATCTTTCGGTTATTGTATACTACCTTTCGAAATGATCAAACTGTTCTACAATGGGTAGAACCTTGGCTCAGGCACCCTGGTGTCTCAAACACCATTCTAAAGAGAGAGAGTTTATTCAGAGAGTGATGTTGCACGTAGTGCACGTTACTAGTTTGTCCTTGCTGTTACGCTGAGTTGCTGATACACCCAACACCGGGTAGGTTGTTGAATCAGTCTAGTTAGCCTTAAATGTTAGTCTAGCACTATTCTTTATCTTTGATTTTATTGTTCAATTCTTCTTAAGTTCCACTGCAAGTCGTTGGTGTTATTGTAAGAACGAAAGTACATGCATTTGTGTTCAGAGTTTGACAAATAATAAAGGGTTATTTCCCCCTTCTTCTGTGTTGGTTTTCTTTTACGCCTGTGTGAGAAGTCGCCAGGTCTCCTTAGTGAGATCTTTGTATGCTATCAAAGAGGACAAGATCCCACACTCTTTGCCACAATAAAATTCGTGGGCCTTGTTCTGATTAGATCAGACAAGTGAGATTAGTCACAGCAACACTATGTCCACGCCAGTGGAATATAAAGAACACTTATCTTTCTTTCTTCATTGTGCTCCTCTTAATTTGCAACATCTTGGTTGCTGAACCGATCGTGTCCAAAAACAGCTGTCTCTGAAGTAAGTTTCTGAAGTAAGCGATTTTAGCCCAGAAAGGCGTTTTATTTCTAGACAACAAGTTACATATTTACCAAACAATATTGGGTTCCATGCTCAATTACGCTTACTCTGCTTGAGCATGGTTTTACAAAACCAAACTGAAGCAACTTCAGACTATAGAGAATTGCATCCGAAGACAAATGGACTGCTACCCGTGGTTTGTCAGAAATAATACAATTTCAGGCCCACTTCTATCAATTGGCACACAATGTCCATTTGAATCTTAGGAACTCAAACAATAATACTATTCCTATCTGCAGTTATGATTACGATTCTTGTAACTATATGCGAAGCAGCGGTTAATCTTCGGATTATGGTAACTTGGCGATCAACCCTGCTACAGCAACCTGCTAGTTTTTTTTTTTTTTTTTTTTTGGACGCCATTTTGTTTTCATTAAGTAAGAGCACTTTTTTTTTTTACTCAAAATTTTTTTCCAACTATCTGCTAGCCGAATTACGCTTATGCTAGACCTTTTATGGAACAAAAGTGCTTAATCATGACGAAGATTAGGTGCGAAATTGGGAGAAAGTGCAGAATCGCCCACTGCTTGCCGCGTTTTTAAGAATTGCACATACACGGTATCCATGTACACGTCGACCTATTTTCACTTAAAAAAAAAAAACCCAGAATTGCACAAAAATGGCATTGCGCACACTCTTGACTTTATCCATGTACACTGCTAAAGTCCTAGCTAGTAACCTTTATCGCCTTACCAAAATGTCGCCAAACTACCTGTTACCATATTCCAAAGATTAGCCGAAGCAGCTAATGACCATCTTAAGTAATAATTTGTAAATAATTCATTATGTGGCTGTGTTTTGTTTCCTACACGATGCAAATTATGTAGTACCATTTCTTATTGCTTCTGTATTAAAATATTGTGAAATGATGCCTAAATTTGTTCCACTCGCTTGTGTAACACTTATGTGCCTTGATAAGAACTTTTAGCCTATTGCCTAATAACTTTTAAGATGTCATCAGCTTATCACCACCTGTTAAATTTTGATGCTTTGATGCCTTTGGTTGCATGTTCTGATTTACAGCGGGAATTAAATCCACTCTTACCAGAGCTTAGAGAATCCCACGAGGGGCCTCACACATAAGGGCTCATCAAATTGGTCCACCATAAAGGTGTACAGGCGAAAATATTTGGTGGCAACAATTTGAAAAGTGATACATCGTATTTAAGTAAATTAATGCAAAATGCCGTTTCCAGACTAATAGCCCTTTTGGGTTAACGCCCCTTTGGGCTAAAAATTCTGTTGTTTCAGTTTGTTGGGAAAAGTGTGTTTTGTATTTTCTGTTTCAAAAATAAAAATTATTATTTGACTGTACAATTTTAATTGAAAGGAACTAAGATAAAAGAGAGAAATAAAATTCCTTCATTCCTCTATAACACTGAATTTTCATTACGAGTTAAAAGGATTTCGGATTTTTCGGATTATCCATATCGCCTGTGGATTATCATGCACTTATTGTTTAATACGAAAAACAGGAAAATTTACGTTAGTTACCTCGTTTCAACACTTTCGTCGTAGGTTTTCTTATCTACTAGGAAAAACAAGACGATTAGAGTTGAATGTTATCTTTTCAGCTTCCTCGATGAAATAATAAATTTTATCGGATACCATTTGGGGTCATGTCATTGAGTGCATTGAGCGAATATGGCAATCAGAATGTGATCCTAAAGGAATCACATGCTAAAGCGAATGTTGTGTCAAAACCTTTCTGCGAACGAGCAGTGATCATTGGCAAAATATTCTTGCTTCATTTCACAAATGGAACGTGATAAAAAAAACTCCATCAAGATTTTATTTAATTAATCTGCCCTTTACTACGCGGATCATTAAATTCAAAATCAAAACAAAAAATTATACTTTTGCACGCATAGAATTACGTATAAATTAGTATAATAAAATTTATATTTTCTTAGGAGTAAAAATTTATGTAATGTAGGGATAACATTGAAATGTATTAAAAAAAAAGATAATTTAAGATACAATTTAAAATATACCTAAGATAAAATTTACTTATACTTTAGTTTTATTACACTAGAATTAATCCTAAAACTTAATTCTATTAAAAGATATTTTCTTCTTCCTTACCGCCTTGCTTTTGTGGCGTAAACGGAAGCACGGCCGTCTAGCAATCAGGAGGTTCAGAGTTCGAATCCCGGAACCCACTGCAGATTTCTGCGATTTCCCTTGTTCAAAAATTTCTATAGTAATTCTACTGCTCTATCCGAACTAAAATGTAGTCGACGATAATTCTTCACCACCCTTATTTTGACGACTGGTTCCTCTGCTCCTCTATAAAATATTTTTTTTCTTCATGCGCCTCGATAGTGTAATTGGAAGTACATAAGGCTGGCAAGCGTGTGGTCTGAAGCTCGAATCCGGGTGAGGACATTGCTCATTTTTCATGCTTCATTCTCGAAATAAACCTATTGACTCTACATTAGAGCTTAAAATAAAATGGTCCAATTTAGTCCTCAATACATTAGAGCTTAAAATAAAATGGTCCAGTTTAGACCTCAATACATTAGAGCTTAAAATAAAATGGTCCAATTTAGTCCTCAATACATTAGAGCTTAAAATAAAATGGTCCACTTTAGTCCTCAATACATTAGAGCTTAAAATAAATTCCAATCTTCACTCACCACGGGACCTTGTAAACTTTTAAGGGGATTTTTAAGGTCAGTCTTCCTATATGCTGTAGAATTACTTCACAATTTACTCGAAGGTATTTTCGGCGATAAACCAGTAAAACTACATATTTATCAGCGCACAGCTTAAAACTAGCAGGCAAGCCCTACAGATAAAGAATATGTATCTTACTTTATGTATGTACATAAACTTTCTTTGCTACAGATGAGCGGACTGCAGCCAAAGCAAAATTGATAATTTCTATGTACTCCTGAAAAGCAACTGTATGAAATAAAAACAATACAGTATGAATGAAATCAGTTCATTCTTTCCAAGCAATAACCAATTCGTAAATAATTTTTTTATTGCCAAACCAGGAAACAAAAACTTTTGACACTTCAGGTTAATACGCATGACGTTATGATTTAAATTTAATGTAATATAATATTTTTTCAATATCAGTGAAAGAATGAACGTGGCATTAATATATCGTGTCAATTATGCTAAACTGAAACAAAAACGTTGCCAACAGCAGTTTAAAATGCGGTCTTTTACGAGCAATTTTCGTCAGCATACAGTGACATCACATGCAACACGCATGTCTTCAACGTAAAAATCTGACCTTATACAATAATAATATATTTAATGTTTGGCAATGTTATTTTTGTTTCATATTTTGTAAAACTTACAAATTTTTTGTTAACGACTGTACAATTTTAAAGCAGGCAGTGGCAACACACTTTGCACTACTTTAGCATCCATAAAGTATTTTTTAGTGGCAACACTTTAGCATCCATAAAGTAATTTTAGTGGCAGCACTTTAGCATCCATAAAGTATTTTTTAGTGGCAACACTTTTCGAAATAAAGTATTTTTTATTTCCAACACGCGAGACTATAGCCACTCGGAAAAATGAGAGCAAAAATTAGCGTTTTCAGAGTTTTTAATTAATATCTCCGCTAATTAAAGTCGTACTAAGATGAGAATGGTCGAAATGGCTTTCCTACGAATTTTTGAAATCCCGGGGGGGGGTACCTCTCTCGAAATTGAACTCTCCGCCGTTCCGGAGAAGGTAATACCACAAACAAACAAGCAAACAGACCAAGAGGCGCGTACAGATTTTATTAGGATAGATTAGTAACATTGTACCTGGAATGACAAAGGGGCCATTATTTTGAAAGAGTTTTGTAAGCAAACCCAAGCAAGAAATAAGTATCGAGCTAATTTTAAGAAATAAAGCAAAATATTTAGTGTTTTTCGGAAATACCCAAGCACAGCAATTATTTTACCATAGCTATGATAAATTTCAATGCGAGTTATTCAGTTACTATACAGATGATTTTTAGTCCAAAGGGATTTGAATCCCGAAGGATTATTAGTTTCGTTTTGGCATTTTGCGTCGGACGGATAAATGTCGGTTCACTTTTCAAACTGTTGCCATAACATGTTAGAGTCCTGCATTATATTTGAAGAAATTAAATAATGAAAATCTGCGTAAATGTATGTATATTTCTCACATTGTCATAAAATAACGGTACATAGAGTCATCGAATTTTGAATAACGTAATCCTCCAACGAATATGAGCATGTGGAAGACCAAATTTGAAATTTGAAATTTGTTTTATGATCGATTTCCTATTTTTTAAAACTTTGACGAATTTTTGATTAACAAACTCAAGGATTTCAAAGCGAGCAATGGCAACGTTGTGCAGAAAAAAACATTTTTATCTCCAGCGCGTGAGTCTCTGTATCGGAAATTCTAAAGATATGCTCGTTTTAAAACTATTTTGCGATATTGCTGTTGCACTGGATCTTATGGTTTAAGTGCGAGGAACATGATATTTAATAAAGAAAGGTAACACACGAAATGTTAAAAAACGCCCCTTTGGACGTAATTTAAAATCTGAAACATTTCAGATTTTTAAAATTTTTTTTAAATTTTTTTATTTTTAAATTGTCGCGTTGTTTACTTCGATGTCTGCTTTGTTGAATGCCTCGAAATGAGGCAAAGTCCAAGGATCTCTATTTCTCTTTGCCTATGAATAGATTATCAAATCGCAGGTTCTTGAAGTCTGTACCTTTCAGACAAGGCATTGATACAATTTATACAGATCACTTCAGAGTTTTTTTTGTTTTTGTGCAGATATCTGTAGTTTTCCTTGTAACATGTAATCATAAACTGTCATCAGATGAGCAATATCATAAAGAAGGAAAGAATATAGCGTCTTCTAAATCCAGTTGAATCCAAGTCCAGGGATTCTCAACGGGGGGGAGGAATTCATAGTTTCAGGGGGGAGGAATGGGGAATGCGGTCAGCTGTTTTATTTAATTTTTTAAGTATTTCATTTTAATTTATGAATATAAAAAGCTTCTTTTATCTAAGTTTTGATATTTATTTACATTTTGTATACTTTTTGTTTCATTTTTAAAGCAAGTTATTAAATAATCTAAATCCATATAAATGTATACAAGAGTACCACCGCTCAGGGCTTAATTTCTAAAATCAGAAGTGCCGGAACCCTATGGAAGACTGTCAGCGAAAAGGAACAATAGTAAATAAATAAATAAAATGACTATTAAAATCATTAATAATGTAAGAATTAAATAGTTAGTTGTTATCCAATGAATCAATATTAATAATTAATACTTATTAATTAATAATGATAGTTTAATTAGTTAATAATTAATGAATTATTATTTATTAAAATAATTAAAGATTAAAGTAATTAAATAATTATTTAAAATTAAATAAAATGCAAAGAGGTAAATTAAAATTTAATAAGCGATTTTTAATTTAACCCTTTGACGCACGGTGGTCGCGCCCTGAAACCACCAATTTTCGAATTTTTTTCTCCTCTTCCTTCCGAAATTTTTGAGTGAAAATCAATTGATTACTGATATTTTACCTCTAAATAACACAAAATGACTACAGAATCATACATGTTTTAGGTCTTAGTACTTCAAATCGGATGTCTTTTAAAATTCGTTTTCAATGAGACAAAATAACTTCCTTTTTTAATAAAAACTAAGAAAAGCAGATCATTTTCTAATAAACAATAAAAAATCAAAAAAATCTATATAAAAAAAAAAACTATATGTATGCTGCTGTGTTTAAAAGAGCATGTGTACATAGTGTCGTTGGTTCGCCCTTTGTCTCCATCGCAAACCATACGAGCCTTGCATATGAGTCAGATGCATATGTGCGCTTGTCCAATTCTACACTGGATGCTACAAACGCAAATATCATATGCATTTTCAGCTATCTTTGTGAACTGTGAACAGTATTAAATGCTTGTAGTGTCATTATTACTACTATTATATCTACCATTGGATAATTAGTTATTGTTTCTATAAAACTATTCGTTTAGTTTTGATATCAATTTTAATTATTGTTACTTGTGAAAAGGTAAGCTTTAATAATGTGGATTAGTATAATATACCAACTTAATTTTAACTTATTTACAGAACCCTAATTTAAAAATGACAGCTTCAGTATCTAAAAAGAAATGTCGGTATTATTCATTGGATTACTTAAAATTTGGATTTATTTGTTCACCGACAAATGAAACTATTCCTATGTGTCTTATATGCGAAAAAACTTTTGGAAATGAATACATGAAACCGTCAAAAATGAAAGATCATCTTGAAAGGCTTCATTCAGATAAAAAAAAAAATGAAGAATTAGAATTTTTCAAAAAACTCAAAGAAAAATTCACATGTCGACCAACTCTAAAAAGTTTTATGAAACAGTCTACTGAAACTGAAAATGAAGGAGGATTAATTGCTTCGTACAAGATTTCGCTTAATATAGCAAAGAGGGGAAAACCCCACACAATCGCAGAAGAAATTGTAGTACCTGCAATTAAAGACGTCATTGAGAATGTGATGAAAAAAGACTCTACTAATGTTTTAAAGTCTTTGCCATTAAGTGCAAATTCTGTAAAACGGCGTATTGACGAAATGGCCGAAGAAATAGAAAACACAGTAGTTTCGGAGCTAAAAAATTGCAAGTTCTCTATACAACTTGATGAATCTGTTTTTGGCGTTTCTGCTATTCTTATGGCGTATGTTAGATATTTCAGTAAAATTAAAGGAGAAGTCATTGATGAATTTTTATTTGCTAAATATCTTGAAACCGATGGGAAGGGAGTGACAATTTTTAGATGTTTACAAGAATATTTAAATAAATATGACATTCCGCTTGAAAATATAATAGCAGTAGCCACAGATGGCGCACCTTCTATGGTAGGGCGTTACCGAGGTTTTGCTACATGCCTCAAAGAAAAAGTGCCCGGTATTCGTACTATTCATTGTGTGTTGCATAGACACAACTTAGTAGCAAAATATCTGAGTTCAGAGTTACATGAAGCTTTACAGTTTTGTATTAAATCTATTAATCAAATTAAAGCTCAACAAGTCAAGTTTCAGCCCGGGAAATGAATTCGGCCCTACTTGCCAAAGGAAACATTAATTCAAATGTCGTCAGTTGGGCCCTTGGATTCTGACCCGGGGAGCATATTTCACAAGTGCACATCTGTGTAAAATTTCTAGAGGACCTGGGCATTCAGTAATATTTCTGTCATGTCACATGACCTTTCGCGTGCCTTAAGATTTAAACAAGATGGTTGAAAATATTCTGCCATGCAAATTTCTGTACAAAATATTTAAAGCATCGTCGATTTCTTCTGAATCTTTTCATTGCTACATTAGATCAAATATAAGCTATTGTGAAGATTTCACTACCTGGTCGAAAGAATTTGAAATAAATACAAACCAATGTTAGATACTCCGCAAAAATATCCATGTGAAATATTACTTAATAAGTGAAGAAAGAAATCTGTGATAAACATCTGAGCTCAAAATGCTATCTTTACATAAAACTATCCATATGAGAAAAATATTTACAGCAGTTATGTATGTAAATAGAAGTCAGGACTTTTTATTGCAGTCTATATGAAAAAGATGTTCTAATAACGAATGCAGAATTTCATTCAAAGTGAACTTTACTAATTTGCATTCCTATACAGTTTAGTGTGTTCAATTTCACATTTAATAACTGCTCACTCTTACATGTACTGTCTACACAAGAAATACTCATCAAACTGAATGAATTTATCTTATTCACAACGAATATATTCAATT